CACTTTCAGGGTTGGTGACGACTGCAAGTGCTGCTGCCACCCGTACGAGCCGAACGCCGACGGGACGGCCTGCGTACCGAAGGGCTACTGCAAATCGCCGAAGGAACTTCAGCATCATTGATTTTGTCTACTTCGAATTACATAGTTTCTTAGCATTATATACAGATGTTTACTGGTAATGAAAAGTAAAAATTGTATGGCCAAACAAACATTTTGCTCGTGCATTGTTGATCATTTCAAATTGAGTGAAATTCAACAATATTTTCCATATCTCCTGAATATCAATGAAAATTTACCGAGGATCGCTTCCATTTCCACTTCAGGTATCACGGTGATGTTCAAGTGTCATAAACATTGCAATGCCAGCTTACAAAAATCAAATGCCGTATGGACAGCGTAGCTGATAATATTTGATACCATGCATATGTGTGGGATGACGCGATTATATGGAAGAGACAGGAGGCACAGTTAAAGAACGAAGGAGATCACATGCCAGTGATATGAGTTTGTGGACAGGCGATAAAAAGGCTGACTGAGCAGGAAGAACAAGGAAAGTATGAGAGCAGCGATCCTGACATCATTAAGTTGCAATCCGGAAACAGTTGGACGACTGTGAAACATGCGGTCGCAGTGGAAATGAACTTAAGTGATACGGGGGCAGTATGACTTCAAAAAAAAGAAGGTCAGAAAGGCGTCTTTCATCCGAATAGGAAAACAAATGCGTCAACCGGTACTAAATTACAGAAATGATCAAAATCTGGACATTTGCCAATGTACACCACTCTATTGCACCTTCGAAAACAGTCCATCGTAGTCTCCTTCTTACAGTCAACTAGAGATACAGGCAAGACAGGGAACCTTGGTTGGAAGAAGAAATTAACAAGATCGATGAGACAGCCGGAAAATGTGACTGGCAAACAATGTTTAAAAGATTCTGGCAGCTGTACGGTAATAATGGGACTGGATCCGTTCGTAACCAAGACGCTAACGGTGCCCCGTTGAACATCAAAAGGAACGCCTCTAACGACAAAATGAGCCCTGTTCAACAGCTGCCCTCCAGATTCGCCATTTCCAACCATTAATTGTCTGCCAACGGGATAGTCCAGATCCATGTGTGAAGCCGGAAATCCAAAAGGCCTTGCTACACCTCAGGGTAAAAAAGCCTACGGGTGGATGGAATCTCTCCACAGATAGTTAAATATAAAGGAACGTGTATGGTGTGAAAGTCCCCACACCCCCACCCGTTTCGTCAAACGTTAACCTTCCAACACTTCTGAGGTATTCCATGGAAATGTATAGTGATTGTCTTTGCATTTAGAGTGGGACAGGGGAAGGAGCGTCCCATTTATCGTAGTATCACACCACTGTCAAGTGTCGGAAAGATTTTCTATGGGATTACGTTGGAATTGATGAGGCAGGCAACCGATAGGAGACTGGACTCAAATCAAGCAGGCTTTCCATGCGGCACCTTAAGGTCGCGGAGGTAATGCGTCAGACAGTGTCTCGAACGTCACTGTTCCCGATTTTTATCAGGGAGTGCTAGATAGGTTGCCTCAGTGCAATAAGCTGCGATACAGTAAGCGGAACCTTACAGTAAACGCACTGAATAGCAACGAGAACAACGGGCGTAAGAGATTATTGCTTATTCAAGCGGATCATTGTTATGATCAGGAAAAATGATTTTGTACCTGCTTCCCTTTTCAAGGTTGTATCCAGTTTGTCCAAGATCGATGAGTAACATGACTCTACACTGAATAATGATGCATACACTTGTACCAGAGCGAACATGCGCGTTATCAGTCTCAGTTTTAACATTGAAAACATTTGACGTTGACAATCCACCGGGCAAACATCTGTCCACGCGTCAGTCCATCGGTCACTCGGGAAACTTCCTAGTCCAGAGCAGGAAGAAGTCCATCATTAGCTAAGGACAGCCTTCCCAGGAACGCGGTAGGCGGTTGTTTGTTCAAAAAAAAAGACTCATTCCTTTACACTTACATTATATACATTTTTGAGTATGCACGAATAACTACTTTTCGAACCAGCAGGTCATACCTGTTACCTACGGAAGTTGTTTCAAACCACGTGACCATGTTAGTTGGTGGCCCAAGCAGGGCATTAATGGGGCGACATAACAAACCAGAGCAACCGCCAAAATAGGAACTACATCCTTTCTGCATGTCTGATGTTTGTCTTACATGTTTTTTACAGCCTGTCTACATGTTTGAGGTCGCCATCACTCGCAGATGAAAATGACCAGAACAAAAATGGTTAAATTCGAAACTAGGAACATCAAGATGCCAAAAACCCAACTTTGCTTTTGCCTGGATTCTAATTCACATCTTCGGCATACAGAGTACACAAAAACGCTTCATGAACCACTAACCACCAGCGATTCGAATAAACGATCTTAAACGAACATCAGCCGGTAAAGTAGCGTAGCCAGCATTTTTCATAGTGCATGTTCGAAATCATGCCTTATTTATGGCGATTAGTTTGAGTAATGCTCCTGTCGCTAAAGACAAAAGACGTTGATCGCCGGGGGCACGCGAGTTCATCAGCCGCAACGCGACTGTGGAGGCACGAAAAGTCGTTTGACTCACTCGATGACAGAACAGCCCATGGAAATGGTCCTCGGTATTAAGTCTCGTTTGACATTAAGCGATCGTTCTTGATCTGTGCGTCTTAGCGATAACGTGTCAGCTGCGCTTGTTCTTCAGCGAAAGTGAGGTGCGCTATTCGAGAAAGGGGCAGTGCTCTGGCAGCGCAGTAACTTTAAACAACGTATGCAATAAAGCCTAACGAGGAAGCTATGAGGGAAAGAACAACAGGTTCGACCAACCGTCTAAGCTGTCAAACTTACGTCATCAAAATTGCAAGACACGCTGTGGCTAAATGACCAAGCGACATGCAGGCATAGCAGAAGATACGCAATGTGCGTGGATGCACTGCACTGCGAGTGTCGTTCAGCACAGAACTCAGATTCGCTTGAATCACTCGCAGTCATGTAAATAGGCGGTTATGCACATAGTGTACAGAAACGTTGCCTCGGGATTAATAATGTTTTGAATAGTATTAAGAGATGCAAATTAAAACCTAAGGGTGGCGCAAACTTTTCACATTAACAGATAATTCCCTTGGGCAAGGCATCCAACCCACTGTGTTTCAGTGCAATCAGTCAAAGACGGTCCCAAAATTGATGACCTGTTAACATAAGCGACGGCATAAAGTTCTGATCTAGCCGTGCAAGGCACACGACTGTGCTGTCTGATGCGCGCGCTATTGGGTACAATTCCATGACTGTTGTTTTTCCCTCGATAACGGTCTGGTGTTCGAGTAATCGGTCTCCACAGTTTAAGACAACTTGTCCATTTTCTGCCGCTCCTCACAATTTCATACGCTCTTTATGAGATAGACGTAGTACCGTCTATTAGTTGGTTTTCCCCTATTTGCTTCTCTGGCACTATTGGTACTTGGATCATGCTTCCAGCGATTAACCCGTATACCAATTAACGAAACCTGAGGGGGGTGGTCTTGAATATCTGGTTTAACACTTAAATTGCCTCTTATGAAGCTGTTATAGACGTGATGCTTCGTGTTAACAACATCGGCATGCCCATACCTACGGAATTCAGCTGTTGCTGATTTCTCAAATGAGTAGCAAAACATTCAGCTTCATACATAAGCACTGGCCTTGCTATCGTTCTGTAAACTTTTTCATTTAGTTTTACGAGTCATGCAATACGCCGTTCATCTGTTTCCGTATGAAGTACATTTTTTTGACAGATTTCCTGTCGGTTTTCCCATTGTCTTAATCAATGGAACCCAAATACATGAATTCATGAATCTGAGGCAGCAACTGCTCGCTACCCTTACAGATTCGTCGGCTTTCTCTCTGGAATAGCCCTCATGTGGTCCGACATGCCAAAGTTTCCTCAAGGACTCATTTCGATGCCTCGGCTTTTGCTTTTACTGCTTTTTCTGCACGGCAGTATATCTTCTGTTATGAGAATGTAGTAGCGGACTGCTTCTTGCAGATCTTCATTTATCGTGTTTTGTTGTCATCGAGAACAGAGAGGACAGAAACAGCTGAATTTGTAATGTGACAACCGGTGCAGGATTTAAACTCATGTCTAAATTACGTCTACATGCATGTTGTCACGCATAATTCAAAAAAATAAGACCAAACAAATCTAGTCACTGTAAACTCGTAGAAATGGCATTCCTTCATACAGTAGGAAGATGTCCAAGAAGTACTTGCTTCGGAAATCTGTATCTTTTAATATAGACGCTACAATAGCACAGATTTTAACGGACGACAGGGTCTCGTAAGAGAAACCTTTTTATTAATGAAGGTATTAAGCAGCGAAGACATGTCTAAGATCAGATGGCAATGTTATACCAAAGTTATGATGTGGTAGAGTCGTATAATCAAATCAAGAAAGTCTTTACGTTAGAAAACGCTCTGAAGATGACTTCCTGTACTTTAGAATGAACAGCAGCCTCGGTTAAGAGCGAGACAGAGAAAGCTTAAAAGGCAAATTGAGTGTTTTTAGAAAAAATCAAACACAACCTTCAAATAAAATTTTAAGCACTAATCGATTTCTAACCAGAGGAGCTAAGTTAGTAGAGATCAAACAGTCATGAGAGGATGGATTCGAATCTTGCGAAATAAATGCGCTTTTCATTCTTCTGTGGTAACCAAAAGAGTACTACTATATGAGAAGGATGTCGTAGTGGTTATCAAGCTGTACACACTGCTGTAGAAAGAATGCGATATTGAATTGTACCGTAACGGTGGTAAGGACCGCACTTATATAAATAGACAGACAGGAGGATGCAGAAACGTAGTTAACTTTTTAGATGCACAGATAGGTAGAGAGATACGCGGACATGACGCTCATACACCTGTCTAGTCCATATTCTCCAAAGGTACTCGTAGTCTCTAGATTCCGAACAGGCACTATGTTTCACCAGAT